ATGATTAAATGTCACCCTCCGTTTAAAATGTTCCTGCCACTTTCGTTGCTAAGTCATACAAGTCAGACTACTTTTTCCAAATGTACACGACAAATCTGGTTTTATACAAATAGTCAAATACTGTTAATTTAGTAATAACTCCTGGTCTTTGTTGTTAAATTAAAAAAAAAATTTAACCTGATAGAACAAACACCAACTTTTGTAACCATGATATCAGTCAAATATTTCATTGTAGTGTCATAATTATAGACGTGTATTATTTTTTTTTTTTTTTAGATATGTAAAGCGATTTTTCAGTGAACATAGCTAAGTGTTAATATATTTGTAGTATACTTGTGCTGTAGTGTTAGAAGATTTTTGTAGGTTTGGGTATTGACAACAAATTATCTCCCGTTCTACAACCTAGTAATAAATTTTGAGTAAAGGGAGACAACGTATAAATGATTTGCTGAAGGTCAAACAGTAATGAAGAGATGTATAAATAACTTAGTAAAATGAGATAATAACTATTTTATTAATTATTTTGAACGATAACATTACCCTTATTGTAAATTTGTGTCAAAAAATTCGTTTTTATTAATTTGCTATTTAAAATTATATCGTATTTAAAAATAAGGAAAACCGTTAACATTATTTGAATGTCGTTAAATAAAAATGACAGATTTCAATGAAAGTATGCGGTACAAATCAATATATATTACGAAATTTTGACTCCCTTTAAAGTAAGGGACAAGAATGAAACATGCCCAGCGCAGGTATATATGTATATACCAGGGGTCGGCAACCTGCGGCTCGCGAGCCGCATGCGGCTCTTTTGATGTCGAGATGCGGCTCTTCAGCTCCACGCACAAATATTAATAATTATCTATCTATATATATAATTCTCCTCTTCGAGCCGTTAGAAAACAAGCTGCAAACGCTCTCTCTACCTCCCCACCCCTACATGGTTTTAGTGAGCTGTGTTCACTCTAAATGTTTACAAGCAGAGCCAACGATTTTAAACGTAGGGGGGGGGGAGGGGGGGGGGGAAGGAAGGGGGGGGGGTTATGGTCCTTAACGAGCTACTTATAGTGTTTTAAAGAAATATTTTCAGTGTCAGCGTTGGTACTGTCGAATTCACAAATTATGAATTATTGAAAATTAGAAACAACTAAATAGCGGCGTATGTTATGCCGCGGGCCGGCTCGTTTTATTTTATTTTCAAAACTCATCAAATTATTGTTCTGCAACACTCGATAGTGAGCGATATAATGATATAATGATAAACAGAATATTAGAATATTTAGCTAGTCCCTATTTCAATGTACTTCCTATTAACTTGTCTATCCCAAATTGAAACATTTTAAACGTAGGGGGGGGGGGGAGGGGGGGGGGAAGGAAGGAAGGGGGGGGGGGTTATGGTCCTTAACGAGCTACTTATAGTGTTTTAAAGAAATATTTTCAGTGTCAGCGTTGGTACTGTCGAATTCACAAATTATGAATTATTGAAAATTAGAAACAACTAAATAGCGGCGTATGTTATGCCGCGGGCCGGCTCGTTTTATTTTATTTTCAAAACTCATCAAATTATTGTTCTGCAACACTCGATAGTGAGCGATATAATGATATAATGATAAACAGAATATTAGAATATTTAGCTAGTCCCTATTTCAATGTACTTCCTATTAACTTGTCTATCCCAAATTGAAACATTCAACTTCATGGTGGTTATCACAAAGAAACTAAACGGGTTTAATATACAACTGCAAGGAAAGGAAAACCCAGCCTACGCCTTGCTTGAAAAAATACTTAATTTTGTTGAAGACACGGAGAGCGGTAAATTACTTTATTTCGAACAATCTGAAAAAAAAAAATCGTGATAAAACAAACGCTACTATTAACATGAATCACTTCAGCATTACTATAATTAAAATGAAGGGTGGGTTCACTGAGAGATTTGACAATTCAAAACAAATGCAAGTACTATGACGTTCATAGTAGATTCTCTCAAAACAAAAACAAATGAATATATATATATATATATATATATATATATATATATATATATATATATATATATATATATATATATATATATATATATATATAATCCTAATTAAATATCATAATATTGAAATAAAAAATATTAGTGGCTCTTTAAAGACCGGGAAATTTGGTAAATTGTGATTTTTGGCTCTTCCGTCTCAAAAGGTTGCCGACCCCTGGTATATACATATATATATATATATATATATATATATATATATATATATATATATATATATATATATATATATATATATAATTAAATAAATTCTTTAAAATATTATATAATTTTATTTCATGTGTAGCTATCTCTGCTAAAATAATAAAATTAGTCATCAAATAAAAAAACTATAAAAACTATAATAATTGAAAATTTACATTAGTTACATCAATGGGAGCATTGGCCTTGCATGCCTTTTAAAAGTTAGTTTAAACCTGGCTCATAACTTGTTGTTTTCAGCTTCAAGCACGTCTCTAGATTTTTATTTGTTAGTTGGCTTCTTACTTAACTATCTATATATATAATTCTCTTCTGGGAGCCGTTAGAAAACAAGCTGCAAGCGCCTCCTTGCAGTCCCCTCTCTTTCTCTCTATCACTATCACTACCACCCCCACCCCACCCCCACATTGTCTGGTGAGTTGTGGTCACGCTAAATGTTTACAAAGCTAAATGTTTACGTAGAGCCGGGTTTCTATTAGGGGCAGATAATTTAGTTCGATTTTAAACTTACAGGAGGTAACTAAGAAATAACTAAGAGGAGGCTGCTTTCAGGGGTGGGGGGGGGGGGGGTGGTGTAGGGTCGGGGTTAGGGGAAAGGGGGGTAGTGTTTTAAAGCAAATATTTTCAGTGGCAGCATTGGTACTGTCGAATTCACAAATTATGAATTACTGAAAAGTAGAAAATAAAACAACTAAATAGCGACGCTGCGGGTCGGCTCGTTTATTATATTCATAATATGAGAACTCTTGTTAGCACGAATATGTGGGCATAAAGATCGTCAGCTCTCCAGATGTCAACTTTTCCACGTTACTGTCGCATTCTGGAAAACTGTTCCTTGCGTCAAATACAAGTGCTTCAACTCGCGTCATTTCTTTTAGACCTGTGTATTTTTGAAGTGTAACTTGCATGCTTTTCTTAACCTCCAGCTCTTGCAACTTGCTCTTGAGTTCCACAAATGTTTTGTTTATTTTCAAATCCAGCAATTGCATTTGAAGCAAACTAACATAAATTCCAAATGGCTCAATGTTAATCTCATTTGTTTTTGTGTTGAGAGGATCTACTATGAACGACATCTCTTTTCAGTTGCTCAAATCTTTCAGCGAAAACATCCTTCATTTTGTTGATAGTAATGCTGAAGTGATTCATGTTGACAGTAGCTTTGGTTTCATCACGATATTTTTTTCAGATTTTTCCGTGTCGTCAATAAAAACAAGTAAGTTTTTTTCGAAACCCACTTTTTCAAGCAAATGACAGCCACCATAACGTTGAATTTTTTTTTCAATTTGGATTGTAAATAACAAATCAAATTTATTTACTTAATCCTAATCAAATACCAAAATATTGAACTAAAAATTGTGGCTCTTTAAAAACTGGGAAATTGTGTTGTAACTTTTGGCTCTTGCGTATCAAAAATCAAAAGGTTGCTGACCTGGGCTAGCAGTGTTTCTTCCAGACTTTTTTCTTCGGGGGGGGGGGGGGGGGGGAGAGAAAGGGCGGTAGAAATTTTTCGAAGAGATACCTGGAAGAAACTCTGTGGGCTAGGAAAATGAGATAGGTGTGGATCGGTACAGTGTTGAATTTTTTTCAGATTGCTGTTTATGTGTCGTAAGGTCTATTTTATGGTGGTCGGCGCAGTTAAACTATGTCTCTCTTAGAACCCTTCCAAAAAACATAAAGATTACAATTGCGCCACTTTTTTTACACACTCAGTCAGCTGCTTATTCATTTTGCTTTAATTGCTTTAAGGGGATATGCAAGTGTAGCACTATAGTTTTAACAAATCGTTAAATCTCTGTTCCCAAGATGGTACATTTAAGAAATATTTACCGTGGCGGAGCACGGGTATGCAGCTAGTGTATATACACACACACACACACACACACACACACACAAATATATATATATATATATATATATATATATATATATATATATATATATATATATATATATGAAGTATTGATTTTGGGGTATGTATTAAATTCCATTGCTAAAATTTTATAAGCAACCCTCGCTTTTCTTTATAATCCGTGTTTCTTTCGGGGGATCTCTTCGGAGTGAGAGGGCTCCCTCCCCCCCCCCTCCCCTCTCTCCCGTTTGAAATAGTAAATATATAATTTAGATAGAAAATTATAATTATATAGAAAATTATAATTATATAGAAAGTTATATATTATATATATATATATAGAAAATTATAAATATATAGACCCCTTTATCGTGTCCCGGGGCACTTTTTATGCACCCCCGAAAGTTTCAAAAGCACCCCCCCCCCCCCCAATGGAAAACAATGTCAAAAAGAGACTTTGTTTATATTTATTTAAATATTGTGCATCATTATATATTTAAAGAAAATTAATTATTGTGTTGTAGTTTCTGTTTTTTTTCAGAGCATTATATAAAAGCTTGTTGTTATAATACACAAATGTCTCGTCACAAATATCTTCACTTAGGTCTGAACCAGCGCGTTTCGAGTTTCGCGTTTCGCAATTTACCAAGACCCGAACTAGCTGCCCAAAGGCATGTGACGTCATGTATAGACGATCACAAATGGAAAGCAATGGAATTTTGCTAAGCAAACGATATCGTTGTTGATATTATGCGTTAGTTATACGTTAAAATCATTGCACTATTTTTTTACTGTGATGATTAGCTATTCATAAATGTGTACAAACTGCACTAAAAATCGGGATTTCGGCTATGATGTAATAATTTCTACTTCAGTTTAAAGTCAAACTCTAACCCATTTCGACAGGTCCTAAAGCCTTCCACGGTCTAGACCTGGACAAGGACAAGTTCGTCACGGTGCTAGTGGTGGCAGTGGTGGTCATCCTGTGTCCACTCGTGTTCATCGTCTACAGATTAAGTATTCATAAAAGTGCTCTTTTATTATATTTGTCGGTTTAGAAAAATGTTTATTCTCAAGTAGTAATATCCCATTGGGTATATTTCCATTATTCTTTATGCTAAGAACTAAATTAATCAAATTTACGCCTGTTTAATGTCAAGGGTACCCTGAGTATTACTAAGAAATATTGCATTGATTTGTAGGCCCTATATCCATGACGGAACTGTGTGGTCAGGTAGTAGAATTAACATGTAAAGCCTCTAGTAAAGTTCAGTCAGTAGGTCGTTCCTCAATATGAGTACCTGATTTATGTTGTGGATATGAGAAAGGGCATTATGCTAACCACCGTAACCCATGATGGTTCAGAAAACTAGATAAAATCTCCTCTGCCACACCGAGCCTTAGGTCTAAATGGTACTTTTTTAAAACAGTAATTTAACACTACTGCACGCACAAAACTACTGTACGCACTTAACTACTCCACGCACAAAACAACTGCACGCACAAAACTACTACACGCACAAAACTACAGCACGCACAAAACTACCACACGCACTTAACTACTCCACGCACACAACTACTACACACACAAAACTACTGCACGCACTTAACTACTACACGCACACAACTACTGCACGCACAAAACTACTGCATCCACAAAACTACTGCACGCACAAAATTACTTCACACACACAACTACTGCACACGCACAAAACTACTGCACACACAAAACATTTGCACGCACAAAACTACTGCACGCACAAAACATTTGCACGCACAAAACTACTGCACGCACAAAACATTTGCACGCACAAAACTACTGCACGCACAAAACATTTGCACGCACAAAACTACTGCACGCACAAAACATTTGCACGCACAAAACTACTGCACGCACAAAACATTTGCACGCACAAAACTACTGCACGCACAAAACATTTGCACGCACAAAACTACTGCACGCACAAAACTACTGCACGCACACAAAACTACTGCACACACACAAAACTACTGCACGCACTTAACTACTCCACGCACACAACTACTCCACGCACAAAACTACTGCACGCACAAAACTACAGCACGCACAAAACTACAGCACGCACACAACTACTGCACGCACAAAACTACTGCACGCACAAAACTACTGCACGCACAAAACTACTACACACACCTAACTATTGCATGTTGATTTCAGGGGATGATGCCCAGCACAGACCTTCTACCACCTCGACCACCTGCACACAGAGTTCAGTGCTGGAGACAGACTACACCGACACGACCCAGCAAGCTGAGTATGAGAGCTACGAGCTGAAAGGTGGAGGACCATCTAGAGTATCAGAGGCTTCAACAGACTGCGACCAGACCGTGGTGTAAGCAGTTTACTGGGGCTCTAATGATAGGACTTGTGAATGCCTGAAGAGTTGCCTATACAACTTTTGAATGCTTGACAGTCGCTTATACAACTTAAAAATACCAGAGAGTTTGTCTATACAACGATTGAATACTAGAGTTGCCTATACAGCTTTTGAATACTTGACAGTTGCCTATACAATTTGTGAATACATAGTTGCCTATACAACGTTTGAATACTTGAACATGGCCTATACAACTTTTGAATACTTGAACATTACCTATACAACTTTTGAATACTTGAACTTCGCCTATACAACTTTTCAATACACGACAGCTGGTCTATACAACTTCTTAATACCTGGAGATTGCCTTTACAACTTTTTGATACTGGATGGTGCCTATACAACTTTTGAATATTTGAGTAACTGATATAACTATTGAATACGTGACTGTTGCGTATACAACTTTTGAATACCTTAATACCACTACAACTTTATAATACATGAGTTGCCTATACAACTTATGTATACTTAAGTTACTTTACAACTTGGGAATACCTGAAAACTGCTTGTACAAGTTTGGAATACCTAAAGGTTGCCTATAAAAATTCCTAATTACCTCAACAGCTTTGAAATACCTGAGATTAGCCTACGCAAGTTTTAAATGATCCTGAGTTACCTCTACAACTTTTAGAGACCTAAGAGTTCCCAACATATAACACAAGCTTTGTGCTCTGAACAATTATTTACGACATCTTTATAAAATTGAACATTGACTTACACTATCTATTCAAACCTGTACAGAAAAAAAGTTTTCATTGTCCGCCGCCCCCCCCCCCCCCCCCCACAGTCTAAATATATAAAGAAACAAAGAAAGAATTAGATCTATTTGGCACATACAATAAAAAGAGACGAAAAATGACTTTTAGAAAAGCTCTTCTACAGAATATAAAAGAAAACACAGAATATCTCAAACCACATTGTCTTTTATATATTAGAATTGTAGAAACCAACAATTAAGGTTTAAAGTGAAATTTACTATGGTATGTAGAGAAACTTTGGAGCCCCAAAAAACTAGGGCCTCCAACTACTGCCCTCTCAGCTCCCCCCCCCCCCTTATACGCTACTGCTGACAATTGAGTAACAGCTTATCATGAGGTTATTTGCCAACTCTGATGTGACAAAAATAAATCACACAAATAACATAGTGTTTATATTTGAATGAATAAAATAAAAGCTAATCTTGCAAAGTTTCATCATTATTTCAAATGCATGAGTGTTAAATATCTGCGTTTTGATGCCAGATTGTAGGCTAAAATTAAGGAATATTTTTTTTAAACGTTTTTATTTTAAAATAGGGCTGGTAAGTAGGTCACCAACCAGTTCTATGGCTCATGCAGGTTTTATTGAGCCGTAGAACTGGTTGGTGACCTACTTGTCAGCCCTATCGAAGAGACAACTCAAGTTGCAGGGCAATGTGTCTCCAAATATGGTCCCGTCTGCAATCATATATGACTACGATACCACAAAATTTCGGCATAACAACAATGGTCAATGGCGTAGCCCCCCTCAAACTTTCGATTTGCACTCCCCCCCCCCCTTCAAACTTTCGATTTGCACCCCCCCCCCATACTTTTGGTTTGTACCCCCCTCAATTTTTTATCTATATATTTTGCTATTTTTTGCCTTGGTGTCACCCCCCTAAATGGTGTCACCCGGTGCGATCCGCACCCCCCCCCCCCCCTTGCTAAGCCTCTGACAATAGTATTATTAACATTTTCTATAATTTACTCACCAAAATTAACAATGAAAACAAATTATTTTTTTTCAGACTGCTGTCTTTATTCTTTAGCGCAAATATATAAATCCCTCGCGCAGAATGAGTCCCCAGCAGGCCTCAATAATTGTCCACTTTCAGCCTTGTAAACAGCAGACCAACAGTAACGCTCATTATGTTTTTACGAGATTATTTTGGCGGCCATGAAATGATTTAAAAAAATAAAAATGATATTTATTTCGGGTCCCAATCTGTTTCTTAATGGAATTTAAAATTTAGTCTTAGTGAAAGAAAAGCTACAACTACAACACACAAAATAAAAATAATTTATTACCCCACCCCCTACATCCGCCACCCCGCCCGGTGAAAGCAGCCGTTTACAAAGAAAAGATCAATCAGAAATCGGTTAATATTAAATTATCTGCCCCTAAAAGCTGTCACTAACACGACTCTACGATTGTAAACATTCGGAGTGGACAACAGCTACCTGACAGGTGGGGATATGGGTGGTGACTAAGCTGCTTGGTGTTTTCTATGGTCTCCATGAAGAGAATTATATATATAGATTTCTAGGCCTACTTATGTTATAATTTTTCATGCTTTCAAAAATGACATGTTTTAATTAGTTTTTGTTAACTCTTACTAATTTAATACAAATTATTTTTAATCAAACAGAAATTGGGAAACAAAATCGAATGGACTGCACATTTCATGTCTCCAGACTAAAATTAGTCTGTTGTGGGTAGGCTGTAGCTTGGCCCATTTTTTTTTTTTGCTGTCGTCATGTTAGTTGTAGACACGAACCTTCTCTTGTGAGACCGCGGTATTGACCGGTAATTTAATACGTGGGTGCTCTATCTTCTTCTTCTTCTTTCATATTTGCAGACTCGACCACGCCTTCAACACAATTAAATATACGCGTCTACTCGTTATGCGCCATTGATGCCATTGACTCCGATTTCAGCCTGCTTTTCTTTTTGGATTTGCTTCCATAGCCTATGTCCAACCAAGAACAAAGTACAAGGCAGCAGTTGTTTGATATTGGAGTTGTCTCTCCTAGAAGAGTGGCTGTCCCCAGATAACAAGCCTCATCTGTCACCCAACTTACTGAGCGTCCATGTTTATATTTGAGTCTTTTATATATATATATATATATATATATATATATATATATATATATATATATATATATATATATATATGTGTGTGTGTGTGTGTGTGTGTGTATGTGTGTGTGTGAGTGAGTGCGTGAAAGCTACGTTAAAATCTTTGTCACCTATCGTCTATCGTAAACTAATTCGCTAAATTTGCTTCAAGATTTAGTGAACGAAAACAAAATTATTCAGACAACATAGATGTAAATGAATTGAGTAAATCGTTGAAAATGTTTCAATTTATTGAGAACTGTTCTAACCTTGCTGCTTTGCCTGATGGATCCTTGCTAAGGAATCTTTCAGTATCTGGTACACTTGACTATATTCGGGACCTTTAGATTTGCCAAGGAAACGATCTGGACGATGAACCTGCAACGCAATAATTATTGAAAAAAAAAAACTGCAATTCATATACATTTTTATGACAGAAATCTATTTCTGTTAACAGGTATTTTCTGAATTTAAATTGCAACTATTATTATAATTCAGATTTTACTATTAATGTTTTTAAAGACTTTCAAAGCTGCATTGTTTAATACTTATTTATTTTATCACTACAGCAGGTGTAACGTGAATACATTTAATTATTCAAATTGGTACAAATTTATTTGGTATAATTATTAAAATCTTATTATGTGTTTTAAATTATGTAATGTATCCTCACTTTTTTGACTCGAATTCGTGGTTTGATTTTAAAACAAATAATTAATCGTTTAACCTTACTGATTATGCTTGTGTATTTTTAAAATTAAATCATTGTATTGCCTACCTTTTTAAAATATATTATAAAATTTAAAAGTATTTAAATAAATGAATAAATAAATAAATTACGGAGTAAATGAGTGAATATGTGAATAAAAGAATTCATGAATAAAAAAAACGCATGGACGTACGAATAAAATTGAAAGCATAAAAAATAACCGAATGGACGCATGAAAGAATGAAAGGATGAACAAGAGGTCAATCAAATTCAAGTAATTTAAAATGCATAGTTGATATAAAGCGCGGTCACTCTAGGTCAGTTTTCGGTCACTTTAAACTCGATTATTGAGATGAATCTAACGTTACCGTTAAAAAGAGAGTGAACAGCAAACTTTGTCAAGAACAATTTCCCTGCAATTTACGTACAAGTACTCTAGTTAATATGTATGAGCAACATGAATTCTTTCAGTCTTTTTTTCTCCGTTGGGCGGGGAGGGGGGCACTTGAAATTTTTACGAGGGTGAGATGACTAAATTTTCCTTGGGAAGGAAGGGGAGGACATTTGAAAAAGTATATTTGTATGTAAATTATATTTCGGGGAGGGGGGCGGTAGACATTCCTCGGGGTGGGGCTCTGACCTCTCCAAAATATGTCTGAAAAATCACTGGTGAGGAACAAACAAATAAACCAAACAGACATATTTAAAAATTCTCCACATCGCTTCCATAGATATAGATAAAAACACGAAGTCAACCTACCTCCTCTTCCATGCTGGCATAGGTAATGGCGCAGAACAGCCAGACACTCAGAATGAAAAGGACCAGGACTTGCATAATGATCGGCTGCACATAAAGTTATACACAGTTGTGTAAGTTCCCTTTTAACCTACTGGCATTGCATATGCTAAATTTAAAAGCTACGCTTTAACTGTAAAATTAGCCGTGATATATTTAACAAAAAAAATTGGTGACAACGTTTTTGCAATGAAATAAAAATAAAGTATTTTGTCAATGAATTGCTGACTTTCTTTTACTTGTTTCAAAATTGTTGCTACATAATTTTATAGCCTCAAACCTGTATGAGATTTTATTAAATCGAAGATTAAACTGCAACAATGAAATGGTTCGTATCAGTATCAGAGCATCGTCTTGTAGTGAAAAAAGAAGATTCTAACGTTTAACTATAACGTAACCAATTGTATAGTCTAAATTGATTTTTCAGCTCTTAAAAGCAAACTGCCACATAAGAATATCAGGGAAAATAATTCTTTGAAAAATTTACGTTTTTTTGGTATTCCAACAATATTATAAAACCAAAAAAGCAATACTTGCCTGTATGAATAGTTGTGAGCAAGAATCTGATGAGCAGCTCCCGAAGGTGAGATGATCCTCTCGTTAAAATTACCTGCCTTATATACTTGAGTCCCTCTTTTAAAATTAATTCATAAAGCTAAGTTTAATTATCCGATTAAGATTAGTAACTAATTCAAGTGTTCTCAAAAATACAAGATCCGTGAAATTAACTAGGATTTCTAGTTTTACACCTATGGCATATGTTTATAAAAATTTGAGATCACTTTAGGATTATAATATTTTGGGATTCAAACTATCGCTGTACAATGGCTTACCAGCATCAAATGGTTTTGGTTGAAAACAGTTTCCCTTCTCGTCAACCAACCGTCTAGAACTGCCTATCTGCAACATATCTAGAATGAATTTATAATTAATGTAAACGGTGTATTCTAACAATTTGTAAGTGGGCGGTGTACAGTATGTGTGGTCTGATGGACAAATTATGTGTGTGTGTGGGGGGGGGGGTGACAGGGGGATGGGCTGACATACAATGTGTAGGTCTGAGGTATGGGGGTATTATGTACAATGTGAGGGGTCAGACGTACATTTACATCACATCCCAAACACTGTTCTTCTGACCCCACACATTGTATATC